ACTCATGAGTACTCATGTGAGTACCCAATGAGTAAAAAAATGTGTGAGTACTCATGAGTACTCGGGACATTTTTCAGCAGAGTACGACTTTGAGTACTCACACTTGAGTAGGGTGCATTCACTAGGGTGTATTTCTTTTGATGCCAATATAGCGGCAGTTCTGGTAAAAATATGGTCCGCAGAGCTTGACTCCCGATTGGACCATAAAAGCTAAATGACTAGTCAGTTCCTGACAATGGCTATGTATCATCACTCTGTGCAGAAGCCGTGTGTGATCTCCGGTCATCCGACATAGGGAATGGAGCTGATCAAAAAATCATTCTGGATTTTTCAGATGAATTCAATCCGATGATATCTTATAGATTTTTGCTGGATGTGGGTGGCGATGCCCCAGGGGTCTCAAATTTTGCGACTCATGGGAGACAGAACAAAGAAATCATAATGACAATCGTTTGTTCTGTCTCCCATGAGTTACCAAATTGGAGACCCCTGGAGTGCACATATATCTAATCAACGTCTTTCAACGTCAAAATCAGTTGCTGTTTTGTTTCTGTTTTAGCTGATCTTGAAGAATGATTACATTTATTATAGTTTTGCGACTTCAACGACGCAGGTTGTATTTTTTGTTTCGTAACTGGACTGTTTACCATACCATTGATGGGATAGTTTCGATGCACAACGTAAATTTAAGGTTGAAAAAGGTAGAATTTAACTGAAAGTCAGCACGTGGACTTCTGAAAAATCGTCTCTTTGAAGACGCCCAACTGAACTTGGAATGTATAGTGACTTCTATATTTCCAGCTGCGCAGTGTTTCAGATAAAAAAATCCGGAAATTAGTATTACGTTTTTGAGAGAGTACCTCTGAGAATTAGAAAGTAAGTTTTACAGACCAGCCTACTATAGAAATACTATACTGTGCTCTGCAATTTGCGTTTGCACCATTTGAAAGAGCTCCTCTTCAATTTAGCATAAAACAATCAATTTATGTGGCTGCTGACCTATGTTCAAAGCGGCAGCGTCTATCCCTACCTAAGCATTTGTACCATCTCTAAGGTTCGAGCCTTCAGTGTACTACCTGGAAAATGAATTTTTACAGCAAAAAAGGACCCAACTGCTTTTGTTTCATAGTTAACCGAGCATTTTGTGCCGGTTGCGGTTTACCGGACGGTACAGCCCACACTCAATCGGACGATTAGCCGAGGTTAATTGGCGATTTTTTGCCGGTTTGATAAACATGGGTTGTGCCTCAAACGTCCCACTAGGATAGACGCCCCTGATTCAAAGGTTTATCGGAGTGATATATATATTTAAAACTTCGCTTTTTAATATACAAAAGGTTTAAAAAACGTCATAGATGAGATTCAGTCGCTCCAGTTTGTTTTTCATAAAAAAATCCTGTTAAATGTGAAAGTTTCAACCAGAGATGAAGGCGGCACTTGCGGATATGATCCCCGTTTGCCTCATTTAAGATTCTGAAAACCATTGAACCACTTCAGGAAAAAAACAATTTCATACTAACTTGGACGAAAATCAAAACCCTATCGAGAAAAACAAACACCACCGTCCTAGTATTTTTCAGAGACATTTTCAGATTGCTGTGACACTGGCAGATTTTGAACCTATTATATCGAAGGACTCTCACGGGCTCTTTTAATGGGAGTGTGCAAAGATGTATTTGGGGTCATTGTCATGATAAATCAAACACGACAATGATTTTTCAAAGAACGTTATAGCTCGTAGAAGCCTGTTGACAAAATTATTGTACTCTTTATCGGGCTAAAAATAGTTATTTGTAAAAATATTTGAAACACAACAGCTGTCTGTTTTCTAAATGTGGTTTTTCTGTATTGAATGATGAATAGAATAGATAGATCGATCATAGCAATAAACACGATCTCTCTTTGAGCTCAAGATTTATTTCTAGATGAACTGTAGACATCATAAAAGTAGATAATAAGTTGAAGACAGGTTCACTAGAAAATGTAGAGGCAACATCTGCGCATCTTGTCGAAATGCAAAGCAAATGTCACTTTGGACGTTCCTGTGGCGCCTCCATCGGTCAACGATCCTTTTCTCTTCTCTTTGGTTTGGTGCTATTGGTCAAATGAGTCACCGCAATTTTGTACAGTTTCCTATATTTTTCTTCTCTTTTTTTGCTCGTGACAGACAAAAGATAGACAAAAAAATAATTATTCAAGTTGTAACGGCACTTCTCAGTTGATAACTACCCTGCAAAAAACTTTTTTACTGGCACTTATTCGGCACAGTGGTGTGTACCGGCGCCGAAAAGTGCCAATATATCATAAGAAATTTTTTTCCTTTATCAGCACTCCTACACACGCATCAGTGCCAAATCCTTTTTCAATCACCGTTTTGTGGTACGGGTACCAATCGGCACTAGCTCAGCACTTGCTGGACACGGGTGACAGGCAGTGCTGCACTGAAATTTCTTTTGTAGGGTATTTTATGTATCTTCTTTTAGATGTATTTATTTTATTCTTATTCATACGTACTAGTTTTATTTTCATTAGTTGACTCAATTCAATATTCTTCTTTTAATGATAACCAATTACAATCACCCCAAATCACCCATCTATTAGTTTATGATACACATTTAGAAACTGCAATTAAATTTGATTTGAAAAATGGTTGGATTATTGGCGATGCGCGTAAGCTATTATTTATTATTGATGGATACAATTTGAATTCAACAAAAATTAGTTTATCATCTTCATTTGACGAATGTAAAACAAATGAATTTATTTCATCAACGTATAATTTAATAACAACATCTCATACAGCCATTAGTCTCGAAGTTCAACTATCACCACCTCCAAAAGTTCGATCATCAGTCTATTTATGTTTTAGTTATTTGGACAATAGTAATAATAATAGCAATAGTAGTATATGGAATTCAAAACAATTACCATCACCATTTTTTACCTTTATTAGAGAAAAAGAATTAATACCATTTGCAGCTAAAATATGTCTTATTTTATTATTATTTTGTGTATCCGGATTCTTTAGTGGACTTAATTTGGGTTTGATGTCACTTAGTGTCAACGATCTTGATATTATTGCGGAAAGTGATGATGCAAATCTAAGGTAATCACAGAGTAATTTTAATTCAATTTTTTATCTATTTTGTTTTTCTACAGAAAGATTCCTTAAATGTATTCTTTCAATTGAAGTACTGCAGAAGATTGTTACTTCATAAACATCAATGTAATTCAATACATAACATGTGCCAGTCTATATCAGTGTTTTCTTTTTGTTTTAGATATTATGCTAGACGTGTATTACCATTACGAAAACGTGGCAATTTTCTTCTATGTAGTATTGTAATAGCCAATGTACTTGTGAACTCATTAGGTACAGTATTATTAGATTCGCTCGTGCATGGATTGTATGCTGTCATTGGTTCAACAGCGATGATTGTTCTTATGGGTGAAATTATACCGGTATGTTTAGTTTATGCTTTTTCATTTTTCTTAGCAAAGATTATGTAAGTGTTTTTTTGTTTGTCTCTGTTTTAGCAAGCAATATGCTCTCGTTTTGGATTAAGTAAGAATCGTTTAAAATTTTCTTTTTTCAAGTAATTAAAATGTAGACTCAATTTTTGAAATTTTTTGTTTTTTAGTTATCGGTGCTCATACTCATATGATAACATGGGCATCTATGATCATCACGGGTATTATATCATTTCCATTAGGTTTAATATTAGACAAAATACTTGGACAAGAAGTGACTGCATCATATACAAGAGAACAAATTGCCGGTTTATTGAAACGAATAAGTGCGGATATTGAAAAGCCTGAACTCGATATTATAACAGGTTAGTAAAATATTGGATTGGATAAAACAAATCACGAAAAGACAAATAGTTTAAAAATATTAGATTGAGAATTTATCTGTGCACGAACATCACTAGGATTTCTCAAATGATTTTTCTTCCTATATGAATTTAGGTGTACTATCACTGAGAAAAAAAACAGTAGTAGAAACAATGACACATTTAACAGATGTATTTATGCTTGATAAAGATCGAAAAACGGATGCAGAACTCCTATTAGAAGTTCATAAACATGGCTTTTCAAGAATTCCGGTTTACAGTGTTGAGAGGTATCTTATTTATTTTAGTTTATCTGTTTTTTATTACAAATCATCTTTTTTTTAGAAATAATGTTATTGGTATTGTTAAATTACGTGATTTTGCATTAATTACACCAGAACAACAAAATTTAACGGTCAAACATGTTATGGAATTTCATTCACGTGAGTATCACATGAAATAAAAGTGTAGCATCAAGATAAAGTGGTACTTGAGTAAAAAAGAGTGTATTAAAGATATTTCATCCAATCTGCTGGTGTCATAGTTATTGGATTCATTACCAAAGTTTCCATTATCAACAGTTAAGTGTCATAAACTAAGTAACACGTTATTTTTTTCTCTCTTTAGATCCAGTCGGATACACGAAACCGGATGCTTGTTTATATAATTTAATGCAAGAATTCTTAAAATGTAAGAGTATTATTTTTGCTTTTGAATTTTAATACAAAAATTTGATTGCTGTTTTTTAGCACGTTATCACATAGCACTTGTTCAAGAATTGGCTACGGATAATCCAAATTTAGATCCTGTATTTCATGCTGTTGGTATCATCACATTAGAAGATGTTATTGAAGATATGCTTCAACGAGAGATTATTGAAGAAACAGATTTATTTAGTGAGTATTTTCTGAATAATGCACAATATATTATATGAACGTTTTCCTTTTTCTTCTTCCTTTAAGCTGATAATCGTTCAAAAATTCGTAATAAACGTTCCTACACACAAGATTATACAGCACTGATTAAACGGGCAGTTAAAGGTAAAAAAGCTTCGAATGTTTACATTACTTAGTAATTTCAAACACATCGTGTGTTTGTTTAGGACCAAGCATAAATCCTGCTCTCAAAGTGGCCGTATTTCAGTTTCTAAACACAAGTAAGTTTCAAATTACATTTATAATTTAGTCTACTAATAAAAAAAAATAATTTAAATAATTATTTAACACAGCTTGAACAGTAATATGTGAATAACCAATTGCACGCTTTTATTTATAGCATTCTATTGCATGTTATATCATGTGTATATTGTTGTACTCCATAATTCAGTTGTAAGTAGGAAAAGTGATCTGTATCTATGATCTGCTACTCATTCCTTCATTACTTTTTTATTAATATATTGAATAATGACTGTTTTTCTTATTCAAGATATTCAATCGTTTACGGCTGGTTTTATATCACAAGATATACTCAAAGCATTATTGAATTACAATGTCTATGCTATTATTAAACGTCAAGCAAATACAACCAATTCAATTTATTTGTATAAAAAAGGATTTCAATATGATATATTTACATTGATTATTCAAGGCAATGCAACATTAGAGTCAGGTGCTGAAAGGATTATGTCAACAGTAGGGCCGTTTAGTTCGTTTGCAGCAAACGCATTAATTTGTAAGTAGCACAATGTCTGTTCTAATTCAAGAATGTTTCTTCGCATGGTGCAATGCCGATTAAATCCTGTTAAGAGACTATCAAATGCTCTCAAGTAGACAGAAAAATTCCTCCGAGGGGTGCGACGAGCTCTCGGAAACCTCGAATATCTCTATTCGTGTGCTCGAAAGTTTTCTACAACCTATCGAAAACTTGGAAATTCAACCTCTTGAGACTGATTATCCCTCGAAACCTCATTTTATTTGAAGTATCCCTCGAAAGAGTGGTTGGGCTAGTCTGATTTTACATAGATGTGAGTTGTTTTCGTGTTATAATACCTTCGCAGCGTACATAAATTAGTCTGAGCTCTCAATGTGCGTGACTTTTTTCTAAGGGAGAATTATTCGTTAAATCAATTTCTTCATTATAAACAAGAGCTGCTTTGTATAGGTTTTTACTATTTTTTCATGACTCTTTTCTTTTCATTTGTGTTTACTCTATTATAGCTGAAGATAAGTCAGTCAAAGAACTTCACGAAGCTTTATTCCATTCGTCCATACAATTATCGAAAATTGAAGAATATTTTCCCGTATTTACACCGGATTATAATTTAATTGTTCATAATGAATTACATGTTTTACAAATTCACCGTTATATTTGGTTAGCAGCTGTCAAAGCAACGTATCGTCAACGAAATGAACCATCGTGTAAAAATTCAACACCGGAACAATTATTGTCAGATGCAATTGATGAAATAGTAAATATTAGTTTTAAGTTTTGTTTTTTAAAAAAAAAGATTGCATATTCTATAGAAGTTGATGATCTTTGCTAATGCATTGTAATCATTAGTAAAAATGGTAATTTGTGGTTATTTTCGGTTGTTTTTATCAGATTTAACATTCGTCTGTCTTTTATTTAACTATAGGGGTCGACATCGCAACCACCAATTGATAAGAATAATTTGACAAATTTCCACAAAATTTCCATATTTCATGAAAAACATCCGGTAGCAAACGGTGGTGGCATTACAAAAGTTTATCATCCATATTGCGATGGTGGTGATGATTCAAGTGCACCAAAAAACTTTGATATAGAACCTATTGCTTCACCAATAAAAACATCAGTAATCACTTTAGTATGTGATCCGTCAGTTGTTCGTAATCCTATACTTTTGAGTATTCCAAGTGCTACACGAACTGATCTTCCTAGTGAAAGTGAAGAATCAAATGAATTTAATTCTAGTATGCATATAAATCGAATGTTTGATGAAGATCTAACACAGAATCAAAGCAAACTAGACGAAAAAATTGATGATTATGATAATTTGTTAACAACAAGGAGTTATCCAGATCATGGACATCAAACATCGACACCATATGAACAATCATCAATGACTGGACATGGACATTCACAGTCCGATAAATGTTTATTAATATTTGGTGATGATCAACCAACACCTACACTCCAAATAGCGCCTGAACAAATACAACAAGAAAATATACATCGACATCAGTATAGGACTAGTAGTATCAACAATAGAAGTGATAAAAAATCAGTAAAACCCTACTAGCGCGCTAATAATTTTTTAGTATTGATACCGGTTATTATTATTTTTGTGTAATTTTGTTCAATAATGTCAGATTGTTTTAGCTCAAGTTCGAATGAAATTTTGTAATTGATCTTTTTGTGCTACCACCTTGTGTATTAATTTCTTATGGTTTTTTTTGTCAAATATTTCCAATATAACAGATAGTTGTTGTTTTATTCTGTAGTTAGTCTCTCGTTTGGTTTATTTATTCTACACTTAAAATATTTCAATTTTGTCAGATGTATGAAATTTTATAAGATAAAATAGTCTTCTCTCTTTTTGGTTATTAGTATTATTTACACTATCTATATCGACTTTTTTTCTTCCAAACAATGATGGTTTTACAAAGAAAAATTGAAACTATCAAAATCTATTTAAAAACTTGTAATTTCTTAATCATAATAAAATGTAAAAATAAAATTCTATAAGCAACAGTTTAGTATGTAGTATTATGTTGAATGGATAAAAGTATGATATTTGTTTATATGTTGAAACCAGCACTAGATATATTAATCTACAAATATGAGCACAACGTGAACAAAAAAGTACACACTTTGCACTGTCTCTATTCATGAAAAAAACACAATATATTCGCATTTTGGTTTTTGGAGAACCAAAAGACCTACTTGTAAAAAAGATTTTGAAACTGATTTTGTTTATGAAAAGAAGCGGCAAAATCTTGGGTTTCGCATGAATGAACCTGCAAGTCTCTCTTACATTTTTCTCCCAAGTTATTTAAAAATTGACAATAAACCACAGTATTTTGAAATACATAGCACCATTATAGAATAGAATGAACGGTACGAAATTTTGAATAACGCCTGATGGAGATTGAGCTACAGACTTACGAATTTCGTCATCCATTTCGAATCCATTCCACGAATTTCGTCATCGGTGCGAAACATCGAACTGTGCAAGTCTGAACTTCACTTCAGAAGTTCAGGATATCCTTTATTTATCTGTACTATATCATGAAGTTCACTACTCGTTCCAAACATCAATCACGAATACTTCGGTTTTAGAAGGGTTATCTAAAACCTACAGAAAGAAGAGAATGTCTTTTTGCTAAGACTAACTGTAGAAACAGATTCAGCAAATAAAACCGAGTATATCCTGAGTTTCTGAAGTGCTTTGGATCGATTTTGATTGAATTAAACATTTTAACAAAAATGGCAAAAATGGATTATTTCCTGTAATATAGGTTTTTAAAAACAAACACTACCGCGAGGCTGAACATGGTCGATGACCTATATTTTCATCTGAGTGCTAGAGTTTTCGCGAAGATCTTAGTCCCTCGGTAATGATAACAGATGTGAAATTCGGACTTGTACAGATAGATAGAGGACAGTTCGATGTTTCTTCTTTAGATATGTGGATTCGAAATCCATTCATGCATCAAAGAGCAGCAATCTAGCTTCTCAAAGACTGATGAGGTACGCGATCTTCAGTGGTAATTTGAGCTTCTTCGTCCCATATACTTACGTGTCCAGATTTTGGCTTTTGGATGACGAAATTCGTAAGTCTGTAACTCATTTCCATCCGGCGTTATTCAAAATTTCGTACCGTCCATTCTATTGTACAATGGCTGACAATTCAATAATACACACGAACATTTCACATGTGTCTAAAAAACCTTTAGTTTTATAAACTATAAACTTGTTACGAAACATTGTATAAAAAAATAGAAGAATGATAGAAAAGATGAATTAAATACTATTTGAATTAATAAATGTTTCACCCAGTTTAAACGTTAATTCATGTGTAGTTTTCTGAAATATCTTTTCATGCTCTGGTCTTGGTCTTACTATAATATCGCTATAAATTTGAGCTAATAAACCCCATTCTTCTACTGTTAATGTTAATGCATGTGATTTTGAATCGAGCTTTGCTCGTGACAATAATTCATCTGCATTTTCTGAACGTGTTTCAAGTGGAAATAATAATCTATAAAAGTAGAGAATATTAGAGTTTAATCGAACAAGATGAATAATAGTTACTTACGCTAAAGTTTGTCCAATTGGTTTATTTCGTGTATGAAATGCAAGTTTAGTGAGTTCATCCAAACGATTATAGGAAACATCGACTAACGGTTTTATTAATGGTACTAATTGCATAACTGCTACATTGATCTTAGCTGCTGGAACAAATGCACGTCCTAAACGTAAACGAAACGTTTTATATTGACTCTAAAGAAATTGTTATTTGTCTAAATACTGACCGGAAAATATATGTTTAACTTTTATATTGAACCAATTTTGACATAGGATAGATAATCTTCCTCGTTGCAGCATCAGTGCATCAGCTACTAATCGTCCACCAACTTCTTCTTGCAACGTTATTGTTATCGGTATTCTACCGAATTTAAATGGTCCAGTTTGTGTTGATGTTTGTTTAATCCATTGTACTAACAATGGCAATGAAATGTTAAATGGTAGATTCCCGATTATATCTATTGGTGGCAGTTTTTCATCAGTCCAAGGTCGAGCGTATTCTTCTGATATTACTGATTCAATTGGAAATGTCAAAATATCATCCAGATATAGTTTTAATCGTTGCTCAACGGCATCAGCTAAAATCTGTCGAAAATATTTTCGACTTTCGACACGCTATAATGTGAAAAATAGTCATACCTGTAATGCTGGAAATAATCTGACATCTTTTTCAATAGCTGCAACTTTGGCAGCTCCTTGAGCAAATAATTGTCGAGTAATGCCACCAGGTCCGGGACCAACTTCGATAACAAAGTCTAAACCATATGATAATTAGAAAAAAAATCATACTAATATATTTTACAGTTTCTAACTTACGATTTTCTATTTTTCCAGCACAAGCAACCAATTTGCTTGTGGCTTTCGGATCTAGTAAAAAATTTTGAGCAAATTTACGTAATGCCGGTAATTTGTACATGCGTAATAAATCAGCGGCGCTTGGTGTCGGTGGTAATAAAGATTTAGCAATAAAAGTCATGATTAAATAATCTTAAAGTAGAGTCGTAAAAAAGATGATCATATTAGTGTTAAGTTCATCCTCCTCCATATACCAAAACTCGTATCACTTTCATTCATTATTTAACACATTTCGGTAGATAGAAAATTTGCAACTTTTTTCTTCAGCAGAACTGCATCATCGTTTTAATAGTAACATGTGGACCACAAGAAATTGCTGGTTTTTATAATGATTTTTTTCAACTTACACATGTTCAAAAAATTTCGTTTAAGGATCCCTCCTATCAGAAACCTATCGTCGTTTGAAAATGTCTAATCTTGAAAAAATTTTCGCAGATATCTTATACTACAAGAATAACACTGTAGATTTGAACTTGAAATGTTGAGATTTTTCAGAGTTATCTTAAAATTGAGGATGAAAAAAGTAGATGTTCGTGCGATTTCTCCACTATTCTGAGTGCTACAAAGTTCATGGTGGTCTTCAAATGTAGCCAAGATTTGGCACTACAAGTTAGCAGAGCTAGATTTTTTAAATTCTGCCTTTTTTTCCCACAGCTCCTTTGGAAAAAGTCTCGGGAAACTTCATTTTTCTCAAAAATTGAATTGAGAAATAAAAATTTGGCTCTGTTTAGCTCTGCAGCGCCAAGTCTTGGCTACATTTGAAGAGCACTGTGAGCTTTGCAGCACTCAGAATAGTGGAGAAATCTTTGTCGCACGAACAGCTAAAACTCAAACTAATGAGTATCAGAAAAACGTCGTGCATTTGTAAATGCACTTTCGCGGTTGAGGGAAAATGCTAGTAACTTTTAATAGAACATCATACAAAGCTTAATCATGGAAGATTGAGAATTTTGCATAGGTTTTAGGCATATGTTTTTCTTAAAATACGTATTTGACAATTTTCCGCAATATTAAAAATACTAGAAGTCACATATATTGACATTCTTTGACTTTTTTATGTTTCTTATAAAACTAAATATATTTAATATAATTGAAAAACATTTTTGTAAAATCATTTTGCTCGCTTTCTATGTAATATGATTTTACAAAAATATTTTTCAATTATATTAAATATACTTAGTTTTACTAGAAGTTACAAAAAGCTTAATTGTTCGGTACTTTCTTAGAATAAAATGTGATTTTTAGCTGTTAAATAGGTTTTTTTGGGCAATTCAAATATGGTACTAAAATCTTAATTTTTTTAAATACAAAGAATGATATCTTGTAGAATTTGAAATTTTGCATCTCTGTTGATATTGAGGCAACGATTTTAATAGATAAAAAGATTCAAAAAAAGTGTCACTTCATTAGTCAAAGATATTTTCCACATGTTTTGAATACTCAAAAGCAGAAATAAAGAAGTGTATTAGAATAAGCATACCATACTATTCACCAAAAAAGTCTGCATCTTTTACTACTCGAACTCTATTTTAAACTCATCTTAATGATTTTAAATAATTTTAAAAAGTATCCGATTTTTCAGTTTTTTTTTTTGTGGCTTCTAGTATTTTAAATACTGCAAAAAAACTGGCAAGTATTTACTTTAAACAAATCATATGACTAATTCTGTATCTTTCAGGATTAAAACGAAATTTCCTGGTCATGTTTAAATTGGGAAAAAAATCGTAAAAGCCGGCAATTTCCCGTGATCTACCCGCTATAGGACTTGTTCACGTAAAAGTCAACTTTCACGAAAGTTCGTAACATTTTGTAAATTTCATAGTTCTTCAGCCAAGAAACGTACAGAGTCGGGGAACGTCTTATTTTGTATCTTAAAGATTTTTTTTTTCAAACAGTATTAAGCAAAGTCTAGCAAAAGTTTAAGTAATATAATGTTTTTGGTATACACCACTTTTGTACAAATAGGCCTTATTGGTTGCGAATTATAGGCAAGTGTTTAGGTTAGAGCTAGACTTTACGTAATTACCATTTGAAAGAAAATTCTTTAAGCTATAAAGTAAGAGATTCTCCAACTCTGTACATTGCTCGGCTGAAGAAATATAAATTTCACAAAATGTTATGAGCTTACGTTTTTTGACTGGTACGTTTTTTGAACAGGTGGTATACTGGCAAAAAACGATTGAGAATGAGTGAATCTGATCTAGTATAGATCGCTATATTATTGATCATTATAAGACGTAAACTAGGTACACAAATCTACTGAATAAACTTTATTGACTTTCACAACTAAAAAATTCATCATAATTCATGTATAACTAGAACTTACACTTCATACTCTAGTTTAAAACAGGATAAATATTAGATATACTGCAATCTGAACAGAAAGATCAAATAAACAAATAGAAAACACACACACGTAGCTAGTAAAGCATAGAAAATTCAGTTATCACATTTTTTCTTACAAAGGACAAATGAACATGCAATAATAAATAAATAAATAAAATAGATAACAGTGAGAACGTGAGAAAGAGAGAGAGAAAGAGAAAAAAGTAGATGAGACAAATTCTCATTGAAAAATGGGATACAATAAAATGGTGGTTTGATCAATAATAAATAATTTATTGTCGATAGAATAATAAACAGTTTTGAAATACGAAATGATAAATATCACATTTGAAATTATCAGGTAACTGTTTGATCGCTAACTGAACTTAATTTTGAGGTCGTTAAACGACGTTGCCACTTAGCTGCTCGAAACGAAGTTAATGAACCAATAACACTCAGGCCAATCATACAATAAAACATTGCTGACCATTTGTAACGAGCAACAACCCAGCCAACAAGAGGTCCTTAAAAATAAAATAAAAAAAAATAGCAGTTAGTTTTAAGCTTATTTTTACATACAAAATATTCATTGATAGAAAAACAATGGAATAAATCTTACCTTCAAGAAACGTTCCAATACTACCAACACCTGCAATAGAAATATGAATGGATGAAGAGACGAATTATGATTAACGAATTATTAGTAATATCGTTACTAATTAAACTAGTTTGTCGTTATTCAAAACAGCAAGTGACTTTTAAATAGAATAATTACTTTTTTAGGTCATATTTGAGTTATTTTCTTGTTTTATCTCACTATCAATCGAGAGACTAATTATCACCTCTACTATTTCTATAAATTTATTGAAATGAATGAATATGTCTCTTTATACCAAGGGGGGAAAGGCGACTTTTTCTTTCTTAGCATCGGAGACCATCGCTCAGTATCGGAGAGCATCCGATCCCAAGCATCTCAAGTTCCGAAAAGCATTTCATGGGCTCCAGAAAGCTCCCAGGGCCACCTTTTCCCCCTAGCTTTATACACTTATGAGACGATATTATCGATTATCTATCTCGATAATCACATGTACACATATTCTTCCCAATTTTATATTGTTATGTTTTTCTATAAAATATCAAAACATTTGATATTGTTTGATGTTTTTCTTTTTCTTATTCTATTGCACTTTTTCATCGTGGTAACTGTTTTATTGAACAAATGTGCCAAATGCTGTCATTTGTACAATAGATTACAATAATATTCAAACGTCATTGTCGTTTGTTAATTTATCGATTGTTCATAAACAGATAAAATGACATCCTATTATTGCTAAAAATTGATCAAAATTAAAAGGTAACGACTACTAAAACATGTCCAATCTGTTTTCAAAAAATCTTAAAGAAGAAAAGGTGTTCTGCTCTGCTCGTTTTCAACATGTATCTGAACACATTTTAATGAATATAATTAATCAATGAGATAGCTGTTTTAAGCGTAGAATGAAAATTTCATATTTTAGTTTGTATTGTTATTGTTTTCTTTTATTTATTTTATTGTAATGTGTAAATTAGTGTGTAGATTTTTCTCTATTTAAGTGATCAGATTTAACGAATATCATCATTGTCATCAATTTTTTCTCTCATGTCCATAATACATATTCCATTTATTAGTTTTTAGAACGATTTCATTGTTTCTAGTAAATAAAAAGAGAAGGAATTAGAGTTTTTTTGTATATGCTATTGTTACTTCGTACATAATTAAGTGAATATTATTATTCGACATATAAAAAAAAACGAGAAATAAAGAGAAGGGGAAAGCATTACGTTCATAAATATGTTTAATAAAAAAAGAAAAGAAAAAAAAAAAAAAAACGAGTCAAATATTAGTCAAATAACATGGTCGATACTTTTAATATTATTATTATGCTTCAGTTCCTGTGCACGTAGAAAACAGTCTTTTCTTTTCTTTCTTTTTTTGTTTCGTCTTCGCTTCAGGCATATTATTCTTTTTAAATAAGCAAATCGTTTATATATTACCTATGAAATAAGGTATATCGAACAGTTATTAGTTTATGTTGAACTAAAAAATATTTTCAAAGAATAAATTTTAGATACAAACTACAATGTTAAAGAGTTTAGATAATGTTATTTTATTATGATAAAAAGCTAAACAAAATAATTTTATAATTACTTAGAAATAAAAAGAAATAGAAATATGATATATATAGTCATAAGAGTGAATTACATTTATAATGAGTTCACTTTTAGAACAAAAAAATAATAATAATAATATTCGTCGATTAGAATAAACTTGTTATATTCTACTGAAATATGATGTCTTTTTGAAGAAAAAAAAATAACAGTATTTTTCTGATTTTGACGTTAGATCTGGTGTTTAACAATAAAAATCTTTTAATTATAAGCTCGATAAACAGCACAACATGAACTTTCTGTATATAAATTAAAAATTACATTTCTATCTCTCTCTCTCTCCTTCTCTCTAATTGCAATTTTCTTTTATTTTTCTAAGTTAAGGCTTTGTCCAAAATAGAATATCAATATTTCCCTTTTATTTCTCTTCTTTTTCTCTGAGTATTATTCATTAATACAATCTTCTTCAAATAAACTCTATATTTTTTCCCACACTCATGTTTACACCTTATTTTCAATCTTTTCTCCTCTCTTCTCTCATGTAGTTCTGTGCTATTCTATATACGTTTTAGAAGAAGAAAAAAAAATTAGTTTCGAATATTTTTCATAGAACAATGGAATGAAAACAGATGGAGATCTATGGTGTTTTACCATTGTCTAATCAAGATTTGACACTCTACACGAAAAAATCATATCCATAATACTTTTATTGCAATGCGCTAATGAACTTTCAAAGATGAGAGTTT